TTTATTTTTTAAAAAATTATTTTTCCAAAACTTTTTCCGGCAGATTTCCGGCGGATTTATTTTTTATTTTTTTTTAAATTTTCCGCCGGAAATCCGCCAGAAAATATTAAAAGGGTTTTTTTTATTTTTTAAAAATTATTTTTCTAAAAATTTTTCCGGCGGATTTTTTTTTTAATTTTTTTTTAAAAATTTTCCGCCGGAAATCCGCCGGAAAAGATTAAAAGGTTTTTTTATTTTTTAAAAATTATTTTTCTAAAATTTTTTCCGGCGAATTTCCGGCGGAAATTTTAAAAAAAAATTTAAAAAATAAATCCGCCGGAATTTTTGTTTTTTAATTTTTTTTACTTATTAATTAATTTATAAAGATTAATTAACATTTAATTAACAATTCCGCCGGAAATATAACCGGTTTAATATTTCTGGCGGATTTCCGGCGGAAGTCAATAAAAGTTGACTTTTTTGACTTCCGCTGGAAATTGTCCGCCGGAAATTCTGCCGGAAATGCCCAGTTTTCTAATAATGTTAGGTGTGCCACAACCAGTATGGCCCGAAGGCATCCTACCGTATTCAATTTCAAGAGAGGTCGTTGTTAACGATGAAGACTGTGATGAAGGTGATACTACTGTTGGTGATGAAGAACATCATGAAAGTGATGATGTTGTTAGACATCAAGAAGGGTTACAAGAAAGTCAAATGACTGTATCTCCACCAGAAATTAATGATGCAAATGAAGAATAGTTCATACAATGACCTTAACATAGATTAGGCATTACTTTGGTATATTTTAGCGCAACTTTTGGTATATTTTGGCGCAATTTTTGGTATATTTTGGCGTAACTTTTGGTATATTTGGCGCAATTGTTGGTATTTTTTTGCGCAACTTTTGGTATATTTGGTGCAATTGTTAGTATTTTCTTAGCGCAACTTTGTTACATATTTTGATTCAATTTTTGGTATATATTTTAGTTTAACTTTTGGTAAAATTATGTCCAAAATTTGTATGCAAATTATTATGCTTTGGATACAACTTTTGTATGTTTTGTGAAGAGTAATGAGAATGGTATTTTTGTTTTTTTATAAATGTAAGTATTTTTTTCGTTCAAAAAATGCTTAAGAACTTTATCGTTCAAAATATGAAAGTCCATTGGTTTTTTCGGACTTTTTTCACTAACAAAATGTATTTAACAGATTTTAGAAAGTCCAAGAACTTATTTAACAGATTTTTTAATGCCAATGACTTATTTAACAGGTTCCAGAATGTCCAAAGATTTATTTGTTCCAGAAAATTGTCCAATAACTTAATCGTTCCAAACATTAAAGTACATTGAGTTTTTTTTGGACTTTTGCCAAAAAAAAACAAAAAGAAGACGACGATGATGCATTGTCGTCCAGAGTGGAAGAGAAGAGGAGTTCCAAAACCCTAAACAAAATTCAATTTAAATTAACAGAACTTCCAAAACACCCCTTCAACTTTGAGTCTCATTCAAAAGCAAGTCTTATGCTTTTAATTGATTTGAAAACACCCTTGCTGAGTTTTATTCTTTAATCTTAATCCAACTTTGCCCCATCCTTAAATTAGTTCACCACATCAAAGATTGATCAAGTGCTCCAAAAATCTATATTCATCCATTTCACGTTTCAATGCAAAAAATCTGCCAAAAACACCCAAGTAATATCTCCAATGATGATTATAAAAAAATTAACCAAAAGTTAATTAAAAACTATATGCGAACGATTAAACACGACATATAATGCAATTGTAAACTATTATGATACACATACAAAATGCACTTAACAAGACCCATTGTCATACCCTTTCCCCGCACACAATTAATATATAAATCAAGTGATTTTAAAACATCTTGTAGTACATTAAAAAATCCTAAATCAAATGTATCTTCTATTACCAAAAACTAAGAACTCTTCAACATGTATGGGAGAACTGGACATATCAACACATCTTAAAATCAAAGTCATTTGTTCTTAATGGTCTGCATCTGGAATACAATCAAGAATAAATGAAATACTTCGTCTCTTTTTTTTATTAGATTCTTTACATCAAATGTCAATATTTTATTCAATTCATTTTGAATTTTGTGGCTAAGATAATGGTAATGAGTTTTTTTGTCTTCAATAAGCCGAAAATGTTGTTAGTGATTGCTTATAAAAATAACTTAATGACTTATTCCGGTGTGACACCGATAATAAGCACTTTTAAGTGTTTGGATAAACAACTTATACCGGTGCCAAACCGGTAATAAGGAGTTTTTGAAGAAGTTAAACCATTCTAACTTATAATAAGTTGATAAACACTTTTGTAGAAAAACATAAATTGTTTCAAATAAGCAAATTCCAAACATCCCCTAAATTAACCACTTTCGATCATCACAAACATTATCAATGTTTTCATCATCACAAACATGATCAATGTATTTCATCACATATGTTTTCATCATCACAAACATGATTATTAACCAGATTTTCAGAATCATTTGATGGTCTAATAAGAAATTTATTCTTAGATCCTTCCATAGATTGAACAATTTCTACTTGCCTTTTTTTTTTCTTTTTTTTCTTTTATGCACCGGATAGTCTAACTTTTTTTATAATCAATGGCATGCCGACTTTCTTGATCCAATTTATATTTTTCATATATGTGTGATTGAATCTACATTTCTATAATTGGAAAGATCAGTATACAAGAAATTCACACTTTCTTGTCCGATACCTTGGTTCATCGGACTCTATTACAATTATGTCGATAAAGTTCCATCTAGTGCTCTTAAAGAACCTTATACACAAAAAATAAATTGGTTTTAGCTAAAAGATGGACATTATATTATGTATTGTATAAATAGTGTTATAGTTATTTTCTTAAACCATTTTTAACGTGAATCTGTACAATCATCTTCTATAGGAGTTGGTTTGACAAGCAACACGTCTTCTAAACGCAATATAGCATGCAACACTCGATGAATATAACGAAATATTGTTTCCCCTCGACCTATAGAACCTAACTTGGATAGTTTTATTCTTCGTGTGATGTGCTAATATGTTTATAAATATAGCAACTTGTTTCTGGATTATCATATTACCACCACGAGTTTTAAGCAAATCACACAAAACTGCAAAATCATTTCTATCCATTCACAACTCATTTATACAATTTACATCAATTTCGCGTGTAATACGTTGTATTTCGGCTGATCTAATTTGACATCTAGCTAGTGAAAGTTCTTTTGTCCAAAGTTTCTCTTTCATTATTTATATTCTCCAATTCAATTAACCAAATTGCAAGGGAAAACAAATACATGAACATTTGAATGTAAATATTCCATTAATTGACGAGTACAACCAAGTGGTTCCAATCTATCACAACTAATCACTCTTTCTTCATCTAAGGTCAGGGAGGAACCTGAGGGAAAAACCGCTTTCTTGCCGGAAGAAAGAGACCTTATTGGCTTCTTTTCAGGCTTTAACAAGCAAGTACGTAAACAACCTTCAGAAACAAAACAATAGTCAAAATTCACAATAGCATGGAAAGCATTTTGTAAAGCAACCATTCACAATAAAAAAAAACATTCAAAATCAAAAACCATTCACAATTAGAAACAATAATATGCATTCAGAATCATAAACCATTCATAATCATAAAGCATTAAAATTTAGAAACCATTTGCAATCAGAAACAATAGTTAAGCATTCAAAATCAGAAACCATAGTAGAAGAGCATGCAAAATCAGAAACCATTCATAATCAAAAACAATAGTAAGCATTCATAGTCCCAAACCGTTCACAATATCCATTAAAATAGAAAACAAATGATGAAACAAACGATTTACATTAGTCAAATCATAAAAAGTAATAAGAGGAAATCCATGGTTGCTAAGAGGAAATCAATGGTTGCCTTAACTAGTTATCCATAAATCAAACCAAAAGAAGGGATCAAAACAAAGACCACATAACTCGAAGACCATGGAAGTCAACAACCATGGAAGTCAAAAATGATGGAAGTCAAGTTTGGAGTTTGGAGAAATCGTACCTGGAGTCTGGAGAAATCGAGTTCGTGCAAGATGGAGGCGATGAAGTCTGGAGAAATCTAGTTCGTGGAAGATGGAGGCGGTGAAGTATGGAGAAATCGAGTTCGTGGAAGATGGAGGCGGTGAAGTATGGAGAAATCGAGTTCGTGCAAGATGGAGTCGACCGATTATGGATTAGATTTAGTATCAGATGATGTAGAAAAGGGTAATATTGTGATCTTATGGTTTAGTCCATGTTGTTCCACCTATTTTGGTGGAACAATAAATTTTGTCCTATGAAATCAAGTTTTTGTCCTATTTGATTTTTATCTCATATGACATACCAAACATGAGACTATTTTTTTTTTGTCTCGTCCTATCTCATCTAGTCTGCATATCAAACGCACAAATATAAAATCACATAAGAACCTGAAATAATCAAAATTCCCCTTATCCTAACATTATATTTTTAACAGAGTAGGTATTCAAGGACCGGAAAAATGCAAACCACAGTTTCAAAATCCATAATTATTTTGATACAGGGACCAAATCTAACAAAAAGCGTCGACCACAAAGACAAAGCATGTTATTCACTAAAAAAAAGAGAAATGTTCGGTTTTCGTCCCAAACGTTTGTTTATTTTAACGAATCTCATCCATAGACTTCTTTCAATCGGTTTTTCGTCTCTCATATCTGTCCATTTCCAACGGATTTCTTCCCTCTGTCTAATAGACATTAACTTTCTCTTTTAAATATAATCAAATGAGGTTTACGAGTCTATTAACTCAAGTCAATAAAAACCGAACACACCTAGGGTTTGCAAAGGCTATTAACTCAAAATCATATACATATAGGAATATGAGGGTTTGTCAAGTTATTAACTTAGAGATCCCATAAAATTGTTGTACATAAATTCTCGAATTTGGAGTGTTCAAAATTGATTTTCCAATATAAAGTCACGTACCCAATTTCCTATAAAAAGGGTAAAATGTGGTCCTTGACGCTCGTCGTTATCCATCGCTCCCATCCAATCCCTAATTCACATACAGTCGTAAGTACATAGATTCAGAGGGAGAAACCTGTGATCTACGCACACGCAAATTCCCATTTTCAGAGCGAAGAACCAGCGATTTAATGCGAATGCAGGTCCGTTCATCATTTTCCTGGTTCCTTTTCAAAGAGTATGCAATTAACTGATGTTCGTCATATTTGGAGTGTTTATCTTTATAAAAGTTTGTTTTGTTTCGAGTGATTGCATCTGGCTTGATCATGTGTCATATTTGTATGATTGGATCTGGGATCAGGTTGAAGTTCTGATACGGCGTAGTAATTTTGTCGGCATATTATTACCATCTCGCTAAACCCTAACTTGGAGAAGGAAGTTGAAAGCTTTTTTACCCATGTGTAATCACACAATAAGAACAACCTGTAGTGATAATATTTTGCGGATACTCCAATTCCACGGCTTGGGTTGTGAATAAGAGCAAGTTACTTAAAATTTTGAACTACATGAGATTCATTTGAAACTATATGCCTCAAATCCCTCCCTCCCAACTACTGGCGTAAATATTTCATAATTAGCTATGGTATTTATTATGGATTTACATTGTTGGATTTTCAATTTGTGAAGTAATCCACGGTGTATTATTATTACAGTCTTTACAGACTCACATATGGGACATAATTAAAGAGAATGTAGCATAAAGCATACAGGTATGGTTTGTGCCTCTTTTTGGTTTGCGTGTGAATATTATACTCTCTGTCTTCCATAATAAGTTTCCTAATAGCCTACTTTTGACCTAAATTGAACTTGGACTTATCCTTTCACGTATTTACTTCAGTTTGTTAATATTTTAGTTTAAATTTCGGCAGCATGATAGTTAGCATGTTGGTCACCCATGTTCTAGAATAGAAAAGAACACTTTTGACTTATCAAAGAAGATAGAAACTCTCTTACACTCTGCCTTTCTTTTTACTCCCATCAAGATTGAATTTACTGCACGTGTCAGCCGTAGGAGAATGGTTGGTGACACTTTTGGACAATTTTTTGCTAAAGGAGATGTTTACCCAAGCTCTAGGATTTCTACGTATTTATTATTACTGAATCTGTGTGCGTGTGTGTGTTATGGTTGTGAGAGAGAGTGAATCTACGGGGAATTACCTACTAAGTAGAATTTCTGCTGAACATGGACGCGCAACCACAACCTGTTAATGTTATTATTATTCATGCTGTGTCTTGTTTATTTATTTGTTATTCAATACTGCATGTAAGCCAAATAAGTTCTATTAATTTAGAAGTTGGAGTCGCTTTTTTTACTCTTGGAAGTCAAATCGGGACACCTATCATGGAAGGGGAAGTTGGCACAAGACAACAAGTAGCAACGGATGAGTTCACAAAGGGGCATCCCTCAGACCCTGACGAATTGGAGAAGGGGTTTGGTTTTCTGATCTAGAAGACGTTGAAGGATCCAATGAACTGAATGATGATTGGGCTTTAGAAGTCATCATTCATTGTTCTGGTGTTTGTGATTATTTAGATGACAATCCATGTGCTTTCTCCTCCGTAATTTTCATGTTGTTTTTTAATAGGTTCCATTATCCTTTTAACCTTGGTTTCAGTTTCTTTACCATTTGGCTATACATCTAGGTAGATTTTCTCATTATTCTTATTTTTACGGTTACATACTTTTATTAGAAAGTGGATTTTCTGAAATTTCGTGTTTTTTTGGGGGTGGGGGGGGGGGGGGTTAAGTGAAGTAAACATTGATAAATACCTTAATTCAGTGGCATTTGGGCATAGAGCTTTTTATGGAAGTATAATTGATCACAGGACAATTCTCTTTGCATACATAAACTTGTGCTGTCACATGTACTTTAGCCCCAACACAGTGTCTTCTCAAGAATACTTGGAGAAGTTGATGTTCGTATAAATAAATGGCAAGTGGAATTGCTTTCAGTTTGAACTAGTTGTCAAAAATCAAGTGCCACTCTGCCTCTTCAGTCTTCAGTCATCAATTATCTTATAACGAGGAAAAAAGTAATATATAGTGATTCCGATGCTTATCGATTATGATGCTGCATAAAGATGATAGATAATTGAATGAAAATGTCTTACTTTTCTGTTGTTAGTGGAGGTCTTATGGCTTCAGGAACAGTTGACATTCTTGCCACTTGAGGGATATATAATGTTGATAGGTAATACATGTTGCAAATTATCCAGGATTTTGGCTAACCATAATTGCTCCATATAGATGCTGTAAGCTAGATGTGAGATTTATTTGTCATCAGATGGAGCCTTCATATTCTTGCGAAGCAGGCTACATGATTTTATTATCGTGGAATACATAACTTTGCCTATTTTATAGTAGATGCTGAAGATGGCATTCCGTTACTGCTTTGGTTGTCCCAACTCCTTATTTTCTTTGCATCCGAGACCATATATCTTCTAGTCATTGAATAGCTATATGAAATTTTCTTACCAAAAGCATTTGTCACTGTTCTTTGTTAAAAACCCTTTTCTTTGTGGGCAATGATCTGTCTTGAGGATTGATTGCTAAAGTTTCATAAGTCTCTTTTTTTTGCAGGTGACTTCAGCTGCTGGTTCTAATAGGAACGGTAACAGTTTGAAGGTGATGATATAGTTGTATACTTTGGGTGACAACGTATATTTTTTATATGGCAGATGGTATATCAAGCTTTTGGGGTCCGGTCACTTCCTCCCATGAGTGGTGTGAAAAGAATTATGTGTATTCTTCTTACGTTGCTGAGTTTTACAATACCATCTCAAATGTTCCGTGCATTCTTTTGGCTCTAGTTGGCCTTCTAAGTTCGTTGCTACAACGTTTTGAGAAGAGATTTAGTGTTCTTCACTTATCAAATATGGCACTTGCTATCGGAAGCATCATGTATCATGCCACATTGCAACATGTGTACGTACCATTTTTCATCATGGCATCACCTGCAATATTCATTTTTCATAACAATTTCCTGTTTTCTATATTTATTTCTTTTATATGTTCTATTTCAATCTTCTTAAATTGTCTATATTTTATTTCCTTATGTTATTTCCTTGAGTTTACCTTGAAATTTCATGTATTGGGTTCTTTCATTAACCGAGAACAAAGGTTCCTTTTTATGTGGGCACTCCTGGGAACAAATCCAGTGGAGATGGAGTGGGCCTATAGCTTAAGAATGGATAGCTTTGCCATGCTTTATAATTGGAAAAACGAGCACTCTAGAAATACATGCCGGTTAGCCAAAGGAAGATGATGGAGATATGGCCAAAATGTGCACTAATTCTTGTGGATCCATCCCCCGAAGGAGGAACCAGACATGATAAGTTCATCATCTGGCTTGAGCAAAGAATCAAAAGAACCAAATGAATCCATATAAAATCTGTTATCTAGACAGCTGACCTTCCGATTTATTCCTTTACCTTGCTCACGTTATGGCGGTAAGACAGTAACAACTGTTCTACACTTCTACTATAGGACAGCTGATGATGGTTTTGTTAGATATCTTACAGCTAGAAACCCTCTTCCTTCCTTCTTCTGATTCAGTCCCTCCACCACCTACTGTGAACCCCAGTTAGATTCAGGCATACTTTATAGTTGTTGGGCGAACCCGAATACTCTCATTGGCAAAGTTGAAGTGTGAGACTAATAAATGGTTCTCAACATTGTGGAGCAGGGATGGGTCTGACTTTTCGTCTTATTTTCAGGCCTTCAAAGGGGGTGGGGTGGGGGAATTCTATCCAGCGGTTTACGTACTAAATGTTGGCCTGAGCCTTTTAATTTAAAGTATGATGGTGGTTGATTGCAGAATGCAGATTCACAGAATGGAAAATGAAGGAAAACCACATAAACAATTGTAACTTCAGAAAGTTTATTTGGGTGCTAAAACCAAATTACATCATCAATCACCTAAGAAAGTTTATATAGGAACCCTCGTTTGAACAAAAAACTCATTTGTTCTTATATGAAACGGTAACCTTCTCCATCTCTGGTGTAAGTGACAATGTTGCTTCTACAGCCATCTTCGGGTAAAATCCTAAGTGGCATGCCAATTTAAATTTCAGAAACAGAACAAATCCTAATGCACATACATAGAAGTAGGACACTAATATGGAGTAGCAGATTTTAGTTGTTATACTTGTCGTGTACATGATTTGCAATATATCAAATATTGGATGAGACTTGAGGAGTAAAAGGAAACTGGATATGACAGAAAAGAAAAAGAAAGATTTTAAAGGAAATAATGATATTTTCTCATAGGTAGGAAAATGAAACGCCTCATTTGAGGATATGCCTAAATCATTTACATTGCCTTAAGATGAACGTTATCTGGGTTCCGCTTCTCCTCGTTACATCAGAATCAGAACTTACTGAAAAGTGGAATATTATTCTCACTTTTTTGGGTGTATACCATATGTCCTCGTGCGTGTTAAGCAATATAATTCATAGTTTGTTAAATGAATTAAATATGCATACTATAAAGAAGACCCTTTGTAATTTTAAGGCAACCATTCCCAGAGAATATAAATCACATGTCCCCAAACGGCATGTTGCCCACCCGACCGTTTAACTCTCGACACATCATTACTTTATTTAATTCATCTTTTTATTCTCTCTCTTCAATAAAGTGATGATGTGTCAGAGGTAGATTGGTGGGCAATCAAGAAGACCAAGGAGTTTTGAGAAAGGTGATTTGTATAGATTCATAGTACTTAATTTTGACAATGGGTGGCCTTTTTGCAGGCAGCAGCAAAGTGATGAAACTCCAATGGTATGGGAAATGCTCCTGTACATATATATCCTCTACTCACCAGATTGGCACTACCGAAGTACCATGCCCACATTTCTCTTCCTGTATGGTGTCTCTTTTGCTGTTCTCCATTCGGTGATTCGGTTTGATATTGGTTTCAAGGTTCATTACGTGATTCTGTGCCTCTTGTGCATTCCTCGGATGTACAAGTATTACATACAAACACAAGATATGTCTGCCAAGAGGCTTGCAAAATTGTACTTTGCAACCCTCTTCCTTGGTAGTTTGTGTTGGTTAGGTGATCGGTTTTGTTGCAGCCAGATATCTGGTTGGCCAATTAACCCACAGGGTCATGCCTTGTGGCATGTCTTCATGGGCTTCAACTCTTACTTTGCAAACACGTTCTTGATGTTTTGCCGTGCACAACAACGAGAGTGGAGCCCACAAGTGGTTTATTTTATGGGAATTCTCCCCTATGTGAGGATTGAGAAACCAAAAATACGGTAAAAGGAGCATGGAAAACAGGAAAAGAAATGATTTTTTATCAGTGATGGAGGTAGATACAAGATTTTGGGAGCCACAAAGGTAGCAGCAGGTAATTTACCGTGTTCTTTTGCCCCGTCGGATTTGAAGTATATTTTATTAAAAATTGGACTAGGCTGTCGAGAGTTTTAGCTGTGAAAGTAGAATGTAATTTTGTATGATGATATCATTTTATGATACAATTTGTTTGATTCAATGAATATTACTTTCTGAAAGGAGAATGATTCTATCACTACATAATCTTATTTAGCATGGTAATACTCCACTTTTTGGGTTGTTTTTTTTGCTCAACTTCGCCTTGACCTTGGACCAAATGTGATTTGCTTATCAGCTAACAACTAACTTATGAGCCAACAACAGCTAGCGTACTTGCTAGATTTTGTGTTTGCTAACATATGATAATGTTTTGCAGGAGGTTCCAGCACTATGGCAATGTATACCACCAGTGCTGGTTGTAAGTTGTTTCTATATCTCAAAGAATCCCCTTTTTTGTGTTTGGTTTGGGGTTATGACTATAGAGCTCAGACTAGGATTTTGAATAGGTTTGGTTTGATTTATATATAAACCTGTTATGGAAGGATTGATTGATGGAGAAAATATTGAATGATATGTTTTTGTCAACACACAGCAATCAATTTTGATACTATTTGAATGTGTATGCTATCATTTCGTAGGAAATATTCGTTCTGGTAAACTCTCCACATGAATCTTGGGTAGTTACAACATGCAATTCTTCTTCCTATTGACGTTCAGATTCCTTCTCGTCCAACTGATTCTTCCCTGTCTATCGCTTCTTCCTCCTTGTCATCTCTCTCCACTGAATTCTGTCATCTTCTTCTCCTCATGTTCATCCATGCACAAGGCCTTCCAAGACCATTTTCAGTGAGCAAAAAGTTTTATGCAATCATGATCATACATACATAGATACATACATACATGTATTGTGAGTTTTTGTTGTTTGGAATTGTTGGGCCTACTACTACCTTGTTTCTCAAAGTAGCGTGGTGTGGTGTGGTGTGGTGTGATGATGTTCGAGTTTTCCGGACCTGGTTATTGTTCGAGGGTTTTGATCTTGATGGGATAGTGCACTTTTACATCATGATGTTGCTACACATACTGAATCTATTTGGTCTTAATTCTCCTTAACTCTTTTTGTCTCTTCAATGCATCCTGGTATTTGTTCTACTATTGTTTTGATTTAGAGTCAATTTGGTTACAAAGACCTTGAGTTGAATTATATACTTTGTGGTGTTGTCTGCTTTATATGTTACATATGAGATTGGTATTTGCTTGCAAAGCAATGGCAGTTATTTTGTTTGTTTCTGTGGAGATCCTATCTATGGCTCTTATTTCTATGCATGAACCAGCTACTCTTGATGCATTCAAAGGTTAATTATTTTGCAATTAAGGTTTCTTCAAGCCCCAACTCAGTCATCGGAAGGATTGAGAAAGGTAATCGAGGATGGTGACTCTTGCCAATAACTATCTTTTTTTTGAAGTATATAATCTTTATATACGGCAAATAGAACAAATAAACTCATGCATCTTTTTCATCTTAAGTGAAGTTTGAACCCTTGACCTCCTAAGAGGCCAAGGACTTATATACCGTTAGGCCAAATGTCATTTGATTGCTAACAACTACTTACCTTGTAAGCGTTAGGTAAACGGCTCCTGAGTTTGAAATTATTAGTTGACACTGTTATTCGATCTCCTTCGTTGTGGTGTTACAATACTGGAGCAACATACATGGTTTTTAATCTAGTTTTCTATGCACATCGAGTTTGATTTTAAACAATTTAAAAAAAAAATGAGATTATGAGACATGGAAAAAGTATTAAAATCTTCTGACGGAAAATGTAGTAAAAAAGCAAGAAACAGAGAATGGTTAAAACAAGCAAAAAGAGGGGTTTTGTACCGGCTTGACACCGGTAAGAACCGGTTATAGGACCGTCGACCGGTTTCAGTTTTGGATGGATTTGAAGGACCGGCCCGACTAAGACTGGTTATGGGCATGGCCCGACTCCGCTTTTGAAAATATAGCTGTTTTTATGATTGTTTTTTCAAGTTTATGACTGTTTTTCTGTTCTTTTTTACCTTCTAAACCCTATGTACAAGTGTCATGGGGTATGGATTTACATACCAACTTACAAAACGCAAAATACGCAACAAAACGTTCACAATTCTTGGTTTCTTGCTATATTTTGTGACTTTGGCTCGTACCCGTTTCCCGCTTCCACTTCACAATTCTTATTTCTTTCTCTTTTTGTCTTTCATAATGGCCAGTGAAGAACATGATGTATTAAACAGACAAGTTGCCCAAGTTCTCGCTGAGCACGGACGAAAGTCCGAGATTTGGAATTCATACAACTTGGTGATCCTCACGAACGGGAAAAGAAAGGCACAATGTAAAATGTGCCAAGCTCTCCTTACGGCGGAAGGAAATTCTACTTTAAGGCGGCACACCGAAAAAACGTGCTCGGGGTTGAGGTTGGGGGGTGATTCAAGCCAACCATTACTTGATACTCAAGGTCAAATATGGTCGTTTGATGCCGAGTTGAACCGAAAAATGACAACACAATGTGTCATTCAAGTCGGGTTGCCTTTCGAACATTTCGACAACCCTCACATTACGAAGTTGATCCAAAAAACATTACAACCACGATACAAGCCGGTAAGTCGTCAAACCCTTAGACGTGATGCAATTAAAATGTGGAAAATGTGTCGAAGTGAAATGCAACAAATGTTTTCTTTTTTGCCTAACAACATTTCTGTAATGTGTGATGTATAGAGTGCACCACACGGATTGCCGGTTTTATGTATGCATAACGATACATTGGATTGAACCGCAATAAAGGCATTTATTGAAACGTGTAATCGCGTTTGAACATTGTGGTGCACCACATACGGGTGTACATCAATTTTTAATTTATTAAAAAATGTCTTGCATCTTATAATTTATCTGCTAAAATAATTAGCATTTCATTTGATAACACTAGTAATAACAATCTATGTTTGGAAAAATTAAAGTATCATTTGACACCTCTTTTAAACGGTAAATTATTTCATACACGTTGTTGTGCACACATAATAAATTTAGTCGATCAAGACGGTTTAAATACCTGTAAACCCGTAATAGATCAGTTTAGACTTATTTTATGGCGAATTTTCACAAAGGTTAAGAAAATGAATGCAGAATATAGAAAATATTGCGAAGACGTTGGTTTTAAAGCTTTGTGACCGATGTTCGATATGCTCGTTAGATGGAATTCGACTATTTTTATGATTGAAAATTTGATAAAACAAAAAAAAATTATATTTTCCATTTTATAAACACTATTACCAACAAAATTCTATTGGGAATCTTGATTGACCGTGGTTGAAGGATTGTACGATATTTTAGGCGATCTTAAAAATGCGAAACACTTTTATCCGGTATTTATTATCCAACAAGCCCTTTACTTATAAATCAGTTATATATTTTGGCAAGATTGTACAATACGAAGACCATCATGATTGGGGAAGGTTGACGAGTTCAATGAAAAAGAAATTGTTAAAATATTTTATAAGCATCTCATTTGTTTTCCATTGTGCTACGAAGTTAAACTTGTATTTAAATGTTACAGGTGTTGAAGTTTTAATTACACAAATATGTGTGACATTTGGTTTAGATACGACTATGGATAATTCTTTTTCAACGGAACAAAGACGTTTGTTTAATCGTAATTTTCAAGATTTATTTGATCATTATAAACATTTTAATGGGGGACGAAACTAACAACAAAGCTCTTCAAGTCGTGGATTTTTTGCAAGTTCTAGTTCTTCTAGTGGTCATCGCCAAAGTCGAAAAGAGTTGATGATTAATTTAAAAGTAGATTTGATAATGATATGGGTGAACTAAATATGTATGTGCACTAGCTTTGTAGCCTCTTGTCCCGCAAATGATGTCGAAGATTTTGAAAAATTTGATCTATTAGATTTTTGGAAACAAAAGTAACCTCAATTCTTGGTTTTGTCATGCATGACACGTGATATACCAACAATCCAAGCTAGTACCGTAGTTTTGAAGTCCGTTTTTTCTCTTAGTGGCAGGATCATTTCGATACGTCCGGACAAGACTAAGCCCGAAGTCCGTGGAGTGTTGCATCTGTTTGAAGGATTACTTGGATAGCATTGATAAAATTCAACACACGACATCGTTAGAGGTGAAGATTGAAGCGGTGGAAGAAAATGAAATCGCCATGGAACTAAGCACGCCGCGAACTACCAATACCGACGGCACTTTATTCACAATATGACAATGAGGAACTCGCTATTGATGACCAAGAGGTTATTAGAAGAATTCAAGAGACTAAAACTCTTCAAATCAATCCGACATGGTTAACCGATGATGAATAAGCGTATTTTCAAATAATTGAATATTTGAATGTAACTTTATTTTTGAGTAACCCAATTACAAATTTTATAATGTATTCAAAAATTCTATAATTTTTTTTGGGTAGGGACCGGTTACCTATAACCGGTTATGAGTAAGGTTAACCTTAACCGGGCTGAGATTTTCAACTAGGACCAGACCGGTTTTTGGCCATCACTCGGAGCTGTCTTGTGCTCTTTGCTTGTTTGTGGTTTGGTTTGGTTTGGTGGTGAGTTGGCTTATTTTGGGGCTCTCCTCATTAGGGGTTTGTCCTGTTTGATGGGCAGGGCGGAGATGAGTGTCTTTCATCATTTTAAGGTATACCTTTCTGTTTTTATTTGCCAAAAATTCTTATAAGATCTCAACAAGGTCTAAAAATCAAAATACAAGGGATAAAATTACACTCTACACCTCTCTTTCTTACACGTGTGTTTAAACTGCAAGTGTTTTTAAGACATCAACTTGTGAAACAAACAACATACAAACCTCATGATATGCTTGAATAGATTACAAGCTCTTGATTTTAACCAACGAACCCAGATCCACTTCACAACACATCTATCTTAATCCAAGTTTCGTGTTCTTCAGGATTCACCAAACTGACGGTCCTGAATGATCTGACCAAGTTTCCAGTATAGTTCTCGTTGTTCCTCATACGAGAGATTCATTACAATCTGAAAAAAGATCCACGTCATAATTAAACGGTTTCCCAAATCCAGATCTTAAACAAAAGCCGGGTGGCATACCTGGTCTAATATCATCCCAAGGGATACGCTTTGAGCCACGATAAACGACTGGTGATAGATGTATGCAAACACGGCCATCACCATCTGCATGTCAAGTTACACGACAAATCAATAATCAAATTCGACATCAAGTAAATTATTTTGAAAAGATTCAACAAGTCTGTATGCCATTTAGCATACTGCAAAAAGAGCATTCTTTAGGCCACATGGAGAGATTATCTGGCTCAGCTGGCAGGTCAATGACTGGGCGGTGCCCCAATCCTTTTTTCCTTAGGCTAAAGCTGCATGGACTATTTAAAACCTCATTAGGACAAAATCAGATTTATAGAATGTCAAATGTGTCTAAATGTCCTAATAGACTGTTTTATAAAACTTAAGTTTATATAACTAAACAATTGTGTGTCTTGTGTAAAAGCTTTACAATAAGATGTTATGACGGGTACAAGCATCCTAACAAGTTTCTTAAGACATTTAAAATAAAGTGTCTTATCAACTTTTTATAGGGCACTTTTGAGAAGTGTCCTATGAACAAACCTTTTTATAGGGCACCTGTTTTTTAGAAGACACTTATTTCAAATAATGTCATACAAAGAGGCTAATATGACGGTTTATTTCAAAAGTTTTCTAAAAAACATGGTAGGACGCCCAAAGCGTCTAATAAACTTACTGTAACACCCTTACATAGGACTCATAATTGTATGGCCCTATAAACTTAAGTCATATAAAACAATCAATAAGAACATTTATACATATTTGACGCCTAATAGAACCACTTTTGTTGCAGTAACTATGGCGTAATTTGGCAAAACCAGTTCGGGAGATTCTCGCTTGACAGGCTGACACAGTACAATTTAAACAGGTGCAGAGTCCCATATCAATCCAAATGTGTATTTAACGGAACTTCCGAAAATGAACTGAAAAGGGACCATGAGGGAGGAAGTTAAATTATCATAGAAATTGGAGCACTTTCTTTTCAAAATGTTCATGGAAAATCCACAATTTCTTCTTTCGAAACTTTCCAAGCTTAATTATCGACTTATCCATGATTACCGATTACAATCAAATTAACAATGATGATTTGGGTTGAGAAGATCTATATATTTGCCTTTTCACCCGAGGGTATCTCAAATACTGTAAAAACAGTCGAATATTTTACTCCATCAGTCACGAAAGGCACAAAGTTGTAGGACTATGTAATGAGTATACTTTTTAATGACAATAATACCCCTAATGATAAGAGAGTAAAGTCACCTGACAATCCATTCTGTCTGTCATCCCACCATGTCCAGGAATACTATCCCCAAAATCCTACACAAAAACAAAGTAAATAATTGTACATGACATTTTATGAACACTTGAACCAAAGGAAACAAGTTGCACCTTGATATTGAAGGCTCTTTTGAAACCACTAGCAAAGAAGCCACCAAAAGGGGCAATGATTGAAGCAAAAAGTCCAAGACCCAATGCATGCCATTGCACTGGCAGAATTTGGATCTCTGTCCATGGGAACTGAAAAACACATGCATCAAAATAATGTTAGAGTGAACTACCACCATTCTGAACCAAAGTTAAAAGCAGATTCAACATTATTGAAAATAACATGATGACTAAGACAAGGTTGGTTTAAAAATCATCAATATTAGGGTACAACACCTAACTAGTATAAAATTCATTGGTTGAGGCACAAAAACTACCAAGATAGGCTCAGTACTTATTCTCTCATTGGAGGAGTATTCAAGGACCAAATCCATTCTCAATCTGTTTTAGAAGTAGCTTGCAGCATACAGAGATTTAACATCATCAATTGAACTACAGATTTATACATGATTAAATTTCAAACTATTTCAATGGTGCAAAGACAAATTCTTTTCTAGGACTAAATGGAGGAAACCAAATCAGTTAGCCAATCATCAATGTCACATGACAAAAAAGTTGTAACATGTAAGATCAAGCCAAGATTGACATATTGTAAGACCTTCTCCTTCAGTTAGTGTTGTTCTCGATGCGAAAAGTTGGTGGAGATCATTGTGAATTTAATGGAATTTGTGTTGGAGTTCATTTGCTTCAGATGTTCTATTCATATGATTTAACTTTCTGTTGTGAAACTCTTTGGGTTTCTTCAACAAAGAAGAAAAAAGGAATTAAAAACTAAAAAGGAAGTGGATATTTAATTGAGTGGGACGATGAGTAGGTTTTGGTGAGGTGGAATAAGTAAAAAGAAAATGCCACATCATTTATTACGTGTGCCACATCATCAATATGTATGTCAACAGATAAAATGTGGCCTGAAACATTTACTTTTAAGTATTTGAGTATTTTGAAAGTCCATTGCTAGCCTAAAAAAGTAATTTTTTTTGAAGTATATAATTTATATACGGCAAATGCAACAAATAAACTCACACACCCTCCTCACCTTTGGTAAGGTTTGAACCCCTGACCTCTGAGGAGGCCAAGAACTACGAAACCGCTAGGCCAAAGGCCCTTTGGTCTAAAACAGTAATTTTATTAACTACAGTACATTATTTGTAATAAATCCTTGACAAAATAACCGGACTGTGAAGTTTGTGGGCTGTCTAAAGATTTAGGATTTAGCTTTTCCCTTCAACCACATAATACCAGGTGATAATATAAACATAAAGCTGGATGAAACAAAGATACTGATATTTTCAAGTTACCCATTCAGGAAGCTCTCCAGGTAAAGCATAGCTCTCCGGCTTAAATAGAGGGTCAGGCTCACATTGAAGCCAACCAGTTGATAAGTCCTGCATCAGAATCCTATTAAAACATGTCTCCGATAATAATAAATATGCTTCTTAAATAGAGATGGATCACCTTTCTAGGGCATGTCAACCACTGGAAGCGACCAAAAAAACTAGCAAGCTGCAGGCAATCAAGATCACACACATTTATGACCAAATTGCAGCAATATAACACAATTCATCAGTTGATTCACAAAAAAACGTCATGTTTGTATGGATTATACAAGTTCAGAGAAGATGGTGCCCACCACGAAGGCAGATATAATCGTTGTGACTGATGCTCCAATGAATCCTTCCCAGGTCTTTTTAGGGGATAACTGGATTAATGGAGTTTTTCCAAAGAAGAAACCAAAGATGTAGGCAGCAATATCATTGATGACAATCAGTGATGCTGGAAGAAGGAACCTGCATTACAATTCGGTTCTATTCAAACTTGTGCAAGCTGAAATATTTTCATTTGGTTGCTGAAGTTGCTTGTTGAATTCAACAGAAACAGAAGTATAGTTATCAAAGAGAGCTTTGTGAGCCAGCAACAGCTAGAATTATATCAAAATAATGAAATGTAAGGGCTACTGGTTGTAATACCAGAAAATTCCTTCGAAAATGTTGGCAACTGTGAAGGAGGACTGGGTGAAAACCACAATAAGGATCATGTGTGTCCACGCATATTGCCCAAACTGATACTTGTACATCTTCTTTTTTAGTGAAAGAATGAACCATACAAAACCTGAACCAATATAAAAGGGAGAACAAAGTTCAATCATAACTCGCCAAAAAGTAATTCATGAGTGTCTTGTTGACCATCAAGGTCTAATAAGCAACCGTGTGAAAAAAAAAAGAGTTAAAATCACAGAAATGACAGACCTACGATATACAAGAAGTAACAGGTAACCATATGATATTTGATAAGGTTGCCCACAAGTTTRTACCAAAACTTGTCTGTTGTAACCGTATTGACGAGCCGTTGACTAAGAATGCGACCATATACAAATAGCATCGCTGTGAAGAAGATGTGCCTGAAACGAACATGAAAGAACAACAATCACATCACTCTGTCCCGTGGCATGTATGATAAATATCCCAAATATAAAGCTAAACAAAGAACTAAGTCTCTTGTCTTCATCTTTCAACAGTAGATAAAACAGGATGACGTTGCCATGGTTTAACCGCCAAGTATTACACATTTTTTATGAAAACACAGAAATAGCCTACTGCCTCAGTAATGTAGGGTTGATCACACATTTCAAGCTGCTCCTCAGTTGTGCAGATAAAAGATGTAATTTTGAATGTTAAAAACTATAACAGAATACATTTCTAATGAGCTTATTAATGTATCAATCTAGGCCAAAATGAAGTGCCATGCAGCAGATATTTGTAAAAACCACAAAGCCATTGGTCAAAACCTATATTTCTAAGAACAATACCAGCATATTAACATAAACATCATTTGCTTACCAATTTAATAGCCTAAATCCTGGGAGCTGCTTATCTTCGTGTGCTTTTCTTAATAGATTGAACAACTCTTTTGCCATGAATATTTGTATTATGACAATCATGGCCCATATATAGAGATGTCCCATGTAGACAACAAATATAAAGCCACCAATCATCCAAATAGTTGAATAAGCACGGACCAACATTGACTTGTACTTATTTTGATCTTTTGCCAGTAACTTGGTTCCATTTGCTTGGTCAACATCACCTGGAACCT